TTCTTTTTTTCTTGTCATCAACCGTAGAATGTTTTGTTGTACATTAAGTAACAGTTATTTTACAGAATAATAATAAACAGCATCAATTTACAGCAGTGTAAACGTCTGTCCAAATGCTGAACTATGCCAATGCTCACATTATTATATTAGCCATATGAATCGAGTAAAATAAGGTTAAAAAGAATTCTGTCAGGCATCTGAAACCACAAAACGAAAGCCATACCACAAAAAAATTTTCCTCCAAATTTTATTGATATTTTTTGTATGGAAACTACTCATTTGGAGTGTATCAAAATATCGCAGACATAATAAACAGAATATCGTTGTCACTGCTTACAAAAGCAATTCCTGTTTATCACACTACAATTATTATCAGTGTTATCTCGGCTGTCACTAATATAATTATTACTGCTATCAACGGTGAAAAGGCAAACTAACTGTCTTCTAAATAAATCAGTCATTAACATTTTAAGTTGTAAACCAAGAGAAAAGAAAAGAAAAAAGAAACAAAAGAAAAAATAAAAAACAAAATTTTGTATTATATAAAAAACAGTAAAAATTATATACAACACTTAAGAACCAAAAAAAAAAACAAAACAAAACAAACTGACGGGAAATAAGACGGTCAGAAAAAAAATTTGCTCAAGTATAGTTTAAAACACTGGCATCAAGCCGAACATAAGAAAATACTGACAAAAGAAGAAAAAGTAAAAGAAAAACTAATAAAACAATTTGTATTTTTTTTTGTTCTCCACTAACCACGGTACAGTTACTAAATTTCAAACTACTACTGATTATTAAAACTCAGCAAAAAAACAGTCTAATTGCAAAAACCATCAATATTTGACCAGTTACTTTTTGCCCTCTCCCTCTCCCCTTCCTCCCTCCCAAACAACCATATTTCAAATTCTTTCCCCAACCTAAAAAACTGATCCAAAATTTATCCAGCAATATAAAACAATAAAGTCCTAACAATGGAGAACAGTAAAATGTCATTTGAATCATTGTGAAAAAAAAAAACTCAAGTATTCCACTCATATATGTATTTCATTGAAATGGAAAAAAAGCTGCTAGAAACAAAGAAGCAAAACAACCAGAAAGCGATACAATCTTATTCCTCTTTTTCCAATGCAATTAATTCTACATCCAAAATCCCTTAACTGCCCTTTTTTTTCTTCCAATTTTTTTCGCATCACTCATTATTCTAATTATAACTTAAAAATATATGTTTTCAATTTTTTTGTCTATTTTAAGCTTGTTCATCAAGAGAAAAATTTTTACGTTTCATTTCTTTTTGCTAAATGGAAAAATGTGCAATAGAAAAGAGGAAAAATTTTCTACCTATTTAAGATCTGATATTCATAAATGTCATTCATTTTTTTTTCAAAAATCGGTTTCATGTAATGTGCTAGAATTTAATGGACCTTGACTTAGATGTTGCTGCTCATTTTGTTGCTCTTGATGCAACAGTTCCATTGGATCAGCATCATCGACCACTTCCTCCTCTTCTGGAAACTTTCGGGTTCGACTGATGACATAGCAGACAGCAACCGATATTACCGCTAATACTTGGACACCCGCATTTATTGCATGAAAAGCCTGTCGAAATATTTTGTTGTCATAGATAACGCAATTGCCACGGTCATGCAAGCATTTTGGATCATGCCATAGAAGACATGTATGATCAATTATCCAGCCAAAGAATACAGGAGCTGGGATAAATCCTGAACATAATTTTATTTTAAAACACTGGCGATTGAGCAGTAAAAACCTGCAAGTCTTTTTCTGCTAAGCTATTTTAGTTCATCTACTGTTAATGAAATAAATTAAACACATAATATGGTAATTTTGTTATCAGAGGGTATTAGATCAAAAAGATCAGCCGTCAAAAGGCTGGACTAGTGTATAAGTCTTAACTTGGGTTCAAAAAGGCCATGCTCTAATTTATTCGAACTTTTTAGTTCTTAGAAAAAGCAGCTAACACCATCAACGCTATCTTCTGTATTTTTAATCATGCTATCTTCTAGATGTTCTATGTTTCGAATCCTGAATACAGCTGTCGAAAAGTATAATCCAAAAAAATTGTAATATCAAAAGACGCTTTTTAACTGGTTAACGTTAACAGCTTCAATCTAACAGTTATAATGACTAAAAAGTTGATTATCCTTCACTGTAAAGGTAAATTGCCTTGCTTTTAAAGATTATTTTTCGAAACATTACCAAAAATATTTGTTATGCAGGATGCAAAACTGAGTGCCAATACTTTCTGACAGTCATACACTGAGCTGCAAAAAAATTGCTAAATTCACAATAGAAATGGATATACTTGCAATTATTATATTGCTTATAAAGTCGGTATATTTATGTTTTATAAAAAATAAAACTTCGAAAATATTGAAAATTAGTGTTTAATACGCTTTTAAGAAAATTTTCTTTCTTTCGAAAAAGCATCTTGGTTTTCAAATTACCGGAAAAATTTCTTTTTAGCACGAAACATTTCCAGTAGAAAGAATTCCTTCCAAAAAAAACCATTATTCATACCGTAAAACAACCATCATAGTGGTCATAAAGAACAGGTTACCAAAGAACAAGCCAATAAACATGATGCCAATATAAATATAAATCTGATCACACTTTGCCAGATATAAACCGTTCTCTACTTCACCCATATTAGCACAGGAACATTCATTCCACTAAAACTAAGTGACAATCAGATGTCCTTTTGAAACATACAACGAAAAAAAAAACACTTACTTTTTTTAAGTATCATTTTGTTTTTTTTTTTCATTGAAAATATGCAGAATATAAACTTATATTTAGACAAATTAGGACAGTCCTCAGAAGATCTGTGGCATGTAAAGAAAAAATTGCTGTACCACGTTCAATTGTCGATTATAACTTTTACAACCGGCGTGACAAGGCGAAAAGAAATTCTGCATCCCGTAGTGTACTGGATTGAAATGATTGACACTTCGACACTCGCAATTCCAATTACACTCATGGACATCCGTAAATGCTAACCTCGAAAAAAATTATCGTTTTACAAACATTTTTTTTTTAAACTATCAATTTAATCTAACTAAAACTAAAATATCCGTAACAAGTATAACCTTCATAAACAGCAAAATCTGTGGTATATTTTATAGGCCAAAATGCTTCAATAGTCCTCCATAAAACTGTTCACAATTGCATTATCACCAAAAAAAAAAATACCTGCCAGTTAAATCGTTGACTGCTAATTCCTGAATTGTTGGCTCATCACAGCCAATACTCATACCGACAAGATATGAAACCACAATAAAACTCCAACTTGCAATCAAGAACAACATTGCTTTACGTGGTGAAAAGTTGAAGCGCGTAAGGATATATCCACCTAACGCTGTGCTTACAGCAACGCTGCCAATAGATATGATTCCTGGAAGACCAGGAATATATCAAAATACCGTTTTCAGCAATCCGGTGACTACTGATTAAATGCTAACCGGCATAAATATCTGATTCCGAAGCACTCTTACTGTACTGAGTCTCCAGGTATTTCGGCAGATACGAACTGTAACCGCCAATCAGATAGGAGCCAAACATCCATCCAATTACCATTGACACAAAAATTGGATTTTTACTGAGGTTGTAAGCCAAAGATGGAATTTCTAAACAATCAATGAAACTGTTGCAACTTCTAAAAATTACATAGACGTTTATACGTTACTCTTTATCAAGCGAAACGTTTATAAAGCATATTACTTCTAAAATCTTTCCAAATATCGTTAATCTTTGAAGTTTAAACTGAAAAAAAA